CTTTCCACAAATTGCATCAATTAAACATGGCGAATCGTGTATGTCTGGAGGTTGTAATCACATCCGTGTACTCATAAAAATGTGAAATCCCGGAGTGAAGGGTCTCTGGCTTCCACATGGACCCAATAAAAGCTAATGCTACTCGACTAGTAACTATGTTGGATGGATTAAACGGCATCAGATAGAAAAATACTGAAGTAACTAATTTTAAGCACTAACAAGTGGTCCTGCTTCTCTAATACACTGATGGTGTATGCAGGACACTGGTCCTCCGTCACACTCGACTGATGCACAGTGAGCTGCAGACTGTAACAATACGTGTATGCGCTTGCATGCATGTGCATTTGTGCGTGAATGTCTGTCCGCATGTGTCTCACTTGTGTGTGTGTGTGTGTGTGTTCTGCATGCCTTGTGTACCCATGTGCATTCGCGGGCGCGTGCTGGTGTGTGAGAGGTGCTCCCCGTCGCGTCAGCCGCGCCACCATGCCATCTGGAGAGGAAATCGAGTGTGAAGTACAGTATAGTTTGGGACCAAGCTCCGTGGCAGCGGCTCAGCAGTTAGTTCATTAGTTCCAAACTTCCAGGGATTAGGAGAGAATCTCTACGGCAGGGAGGCAAGGGAGGGGGGGAGTCGGGGAGGATGGAGGGACCCATGTGGGGAAAAGAGATGGAGAGAGAGAGAGAGAGAGAGAGAGAAAACACCAGGAGGAACACTGGACCATAGGGCACAGAGAGACAGAGAGATAACATGAGAGAGAGAGCTAAGCAATTTTAACCCCGAGGACCCCGGCGAGGGGAGATGAGCGAGAGAGGGGGACAATGAGAGAGAACAAGACAGCGAGGGAGAGAGGAGAGAGGACAGGTGTAGCCGTCAGTTCCGCTCCGGGGTTTCAACCTGCCCTCCCTCTTCCTCCACCCCACTGATCATACAGATATGATGATATGTGTAAGAGTGTTAGAGCAGTCAGCCTCGTCTTCCCTCCCCTCCCCTCCTCCTCCTCCTCTCCCCTCTGGGTCTGTGGTGACAGTTAGCAAGCTCTAGGTGGCTCCTACCCTTTACTCCTTTATCTCATCTCCCTGGCTCGTAAGCAGCCGGCGTTACTGCCGAGCCGGAGCGCGGACATTTTTCGGAGTCAAAGCGGCAGGCAATTAAAGCGGGCACCGCCGGATTTCAATTTTCATGGGGAGGGGGTGGACTGACCTTCATGGCGTACCTTTTTTGTCATGAATATCCTTCCCTGTTTTAAGGTGAAGGTGACAGATAATGAAAAGAATACATTAGTGAACACATAATAGGAGGGTGGTTGTGGGCAGTAGCCCCATTTAAGGCCTATCCACGCATACCCATAACCCTTTGCTGCCTTTCACCAAAACAGCGGTTTAGCGTGGCATTTAGCGAGCTCAGTCTCTGCTTTGCTTCTATTCTATCTCCCTAGAAAAAAAGAGGAAAAAACAGACATGCATTATGGGACCATTGTTGAGGCCTGGCATCTCTTGGCGAACACACAGTGCTGACTGTGAGGTTGTCATGACGAATATAATCACAGCTACGGTATACGCTGTGGAAATTGTCAGTGCACAGACACACTCGCAATGTAAAAGCTAAATCTAGTCTATTTACGATTCAGCTGGTCCCTGAACAGATCTTAATCTTACATACGAGGAGGAAGGGTAATGTTTTTGACTAGACATTTCGGAGGATAATGACAAAGTCTACCACAAATGACAATTTCTTTTTTTTCGGCCGAGTACTTACGCACACGGGCAGATGTAAAAGCGTCCTGCAACATGTGCATCTGATTTGCATGAACTGCCATGTAGGATCTTTTACATTCAATATATTTGGGCAGAGTCATAAGTCCACAGCGACTTTAAATTAAGTACTATGAAGTGCATCGACGCTCAAAAGGAAGACGAGGAAAACTGGAAATGCGAGCTATTGTGAGCAGATTAACTGGAGGCCGAGGAAGCAACAGGAGACTGTATATACCATATATATATATATATATATATATATATATATATATATATATGGCACTAAATAGCGCAAGTTAGATATTATTGTAATGTTCCGGACCTTTGCCCGAGGAGATTTTCTCAATCTGGACCTTTTGGAATTTTAGTTGAATAGCCCTGCTCTAAAGGGAAGAGACAAGGAAAACCAGGGAGTCCTATTAAGTTACTGCTGATGAAATCCCAACATTTCCCAATTTATGCCTTTGCATCCGATCACAAAAGTTGCATGAAAAAGACTAGTGTAACCACGACCTCAGACATCAGAGTGACATCACGGTGCACTGACACTCCCTAGAGTACGCTCCTACATCACAAAAGCAAAGAGAGAAGCTAAAGTGTAAAAAACACAGTAGAGTTGCTCTTTCATAAGTATTTAAGTGGTTACTTCAATTATTACTGTGAGCCAAAGACTGAAAATCAACAGGCTGTTGCATATTTTTTTTGTCTTGTATGTTGGTTCTAAATGTGGAGCTCCTTAGAAGAGACCTCTTCTGCATCTATTCATTTGGTGCATTATTCTTCACTGGTGTCACTTAAGTGTTTTCTATTATCTCAAAAAATAGGACAGAAGTTGTCTTTACACTCTGTCACCATTTTCATGAGGCAATAATCTCTCTACATACCCAATAAGACTGTTTCTCCAGATTTGACACCGTGTCTACATATGCAGCGTAGTGAGCAGCATGTCAACCGCAACAGCACCAATATTCCATCAGCATCTACTCAGGATGCGTTCAGGAACAGTGCTGTTGTGTAGGGCACTGACATTTTGGCTGCACTATGAGCCCAATACACATCCTAGTCATATTTAAGAAAATAACGTATACGTTTTGATTCCTCACTTCTTATTTTGCATCTCTTAACAGGAACAGCATAAGATATACAGTATATTGCAAGATTACAAAAACGTTCAGTAAATAGGGACAAATGCAATTAGACTGTTTAGCGCAGGGGTCTCAAACTCCCGGCCCGCCACTTCATTTTATGTGGCCCGCGAATCCGCCAGCAAAAAAAAAAAAAAAGAGGAAAAAAAGAAATAAAATTTTTTTTAAAGTTAGACTTGATAATAAAATTATCCCCATAGTCTAAGTTATGAGATAGAAAGTCTAAGTTATGAGATAGAAAGTCATAATGAGATAGAAAGTCAAAATTATTTTTACACTTGAATAAACAATAATCAAATGCAGAGAGTTATTTCACAATATGTTACGAGTAGTTACATTTACAACCGGCCCTTTGTGGGCGACCATGATGCTGATGTGGCCCGGAGTGAAAATGAGTTTGAGACCCCTGGTTTAGCGCCTAAAGAGGGGCTACAAATACTCAGTAAATATCCCACAGTATATGAAATAAAGAGGACAAATAAAAACAATGACTATTTGAAAATTGAATTTTTTAACATCTAGCAAAACGTGAAGAAAGAAAAGGTATTGTGCCAAATTGATTACAAAACATGGAAATTAATATCCAAAACAAATGCTTAAGCGGTAGTCCTGCCAGCCTACACACACACACACACACACACTAGAAGCACAGTTCATCCAACAGAAAAAAAAATATCTTAAGGGAAGTAATAACTACACAACAACCCCCATGGATTTCCAATTGCCACAGTGGAGCAAGAAGCTGCGAGTGTGGGAAGTGAAGAAAGGGTGCCAGTAGGAAAAGTGCATTATGTTATTGAGTTAATGACTCATTTCTACATTACGCAGCATGACCTAGCGACCACATAAAAGGTTACAGGATTTTTGCACACTGTGCCGGACTCTTTTAAAGCCAACGTGGACATCTGTTGTCTAAAAAAATGGCTGAAATCGGATGCCGTGGTTTGCGCTGTGTGGTGCTGATGTAGCCAGATCAGAGAAGGAGAAAGCAACGTGGATATTAGGCAAGGCACTGTAATTGAGGTGCAATACTATTTTCCACAATGTATTGTTGGTATTGTTCGAGTGCTACTGGGAGGTAAGCCTGCTGAGGGAAATTATTCTGCATTTTAAAAAAGAGAATGGAACTGCCCTGTTGCTAATATAATTTACCCCTTTATTTTTAACAGCATATAGCAGGGCCTAAATGGCCTCCTCCACAGGTACAAGCCACAAGCTAACATGGAAACGGCATTTGAAAATAGAAGGAAAAAATGAATCCCATCATATTCAAATTCAGAAGTTTCCTATAACTCAAGACTTTACAGCTGTAATAAATGCCTTTTGTTATAAGTGAAATAAGTGGGTTGGTGAGAGAAAATAGAGTGAGTTTGGAGCAGGGTGCAGGGTGCTTCGAAACAAGATAGAGACATGGACCTGTCACATGCTGACATCCACCGTCTGAGTTCTCCTCAAGCCTGAATGGCTGCTCCAGCGCTGCATTCCTCTCCATAGTTCCCCCTCTCACACATAATAAAGACAGGAGCTCCGACATCCTCCAACTCCATCGCGGGGTCACAGCTTTAGCCTGTCAGTCACACAGGGCCATCGTCTTATTGCCTTTGTCTCCTACAGGAACAGCCTCGAGCCATATCAATCATCTTTATTATCATGACTTAAAAACCTTTGTTGGTTAACTTTTTTTTTTTTTTTAACCCCTTCTTTATCCCCACTCTCCAATCACGATTTCATGGGCAGCTCAGCCGGGCCAATGGGGAGGTCGCGTGGGTGGGGGAAGAATGCTTTTAACCTGCTGCATCTGGTGCTGTCCCACTGCTCGCCCAGCAGGACGTGGTCACCTTGTTTTAAAAGGACTCTGATCGAGGGGCAGCGCAGCCTTTATGCACATCACATAAGAGCCAAACGTGCTTGTTTTAAACATCTCACTTAGGTGGTTTTCCTGTCAGTGATTAAGACCGAGCACCTGTCCCCAATTTCAGTTCCAATCACCCCCCCCATTTCCTTGAGTCACGATCGCACAGCTGTGCATGTGCGTTTACGTTGCTGACCCTCACGCGAAAAAGCTGTGTTTCACTTGTGCGTTGGTGTGTATTTATGTACCTTTCTGCCGAGGGCCACGCCATCCTCACAGTCCAGGACGGCGCAGTCGATATCAAGCGACGCCAGCTTCCTCAATTTCCGCTCGTCGTTGCCGGGGCAGTAGAGAACGGCCCTGCGGGGGATGTAGCGCAGCGAGGGGCCCGCCGAGTGATGGAGAGGACGCCGCGCTTCGGCATGCGCCCACCAGGCTGCGGGCAGGAGCCCACCGCTCTCCCTGTCAACACAAATATAAAAACACACATAAGCACACGTGCATGAGTGTGTGTGCATTTCACGCTCAGACTATATGCACGAATACATTACTCATTAGAACACACTGCATCCATGCAGGGCTAAGGGCAATGAATAATCAAAAGGTTGTTGCTGCATTCATCTTCATAATATCTGCAGTGTTTTTATCATAAAACGTGAGGATCCAGAAGGGAGGCCTCTTTCTCCAGACGGGAGCGAAAGTGTGGAAACGTTTCATTTGCGGAGCTCTGTTTGCCCTTCAGCTGTCCATTGAAGTGGATGAGAGACGCTGACCTGTGCTTTGGCAGCCTTTGTTGAGGACAAACTCACCCAAACACTGAGCCACTCATATGCTAATGCTGCCACACTGCTGAATATCGAGGCAGGAAGTGAATGAGTAAGGGTGTCAGTCAGCGCAGAGTTTGGAGCTGAGTCATGGAAACGTTACAAAGTTTGGGGAAAACAGAGTAGCTGTGTTATTGTAGTTCATGTGTTAAAAAAAAGCCAACTTTTGCACATTCATTGCTACTACTAAAGGTGCAAAACCCTACTATATATATATATGATTCTGCTCTTTCAGTCACACAATGCCTAAATCAAAATTACTCGACAAAAAGTTTTAGGCAATAAAACTACTTGGTTAGTTTTAGGAACAGATCCTTGTTTGGGATAACTACAAAAGTGCCGTTACCGAAGTACGCAAGTTACTTGACAAATAATCCACGTTGACTTCTCGTTTCACATGTAGAACGAACGAAAGGCTGAAAGATCTCTGTGTGTTGGATACATTCACCTCCCCTTCCTTTTGGCCCTGTGTGGGCTTTGCCGGTCTTGATGCTTCCTTGTACACTATTACGTAGATAACATACAACATCATTTCGTGGGATATCTACGAACGCTGGACAAGCCTGACAACTTTCAGTGAATAATCAATGAAACATTCAAGTTACTTTTATTAAGTGTGTTGAAAACCAAACCTCTCTGAGTAAAGCGTCACAAGATTAGTTACATTTTGACGGAAAGAATTACTTTTTTATGTTGGGTGTTTGGCTCAAATGTTCTGTGGTGTTTGCTCTTCAGCGGATGCGTCCTACAAGTATAGAAAATCGTGCAACATACTCTTTTTGGGGGCTATTTTATGTTTATTTAAGCAAATTACTGTAGTTCTCCAGCCCGACACCATGAAAATAAAAAAGGTATTTACTCGGATTGCGACACAATGAAATACCAGGTCGACCGGTTGTTGCCATGCTCCTCATCACATCCACGTGCACGTGTCAAAAAAGTACACGCACACACACACACACACACACACACACACACACACACACACACACAC